CCCCCACATCAAGGGGGAAAATTGAACACAAATTCTTAAATCTAAGGGAAGACCAGCCTCTAGAAGAGTCAAGGAAACACAACAATGTTAAGTGCAACTCAAAGCTGCCAAGAATATTGGAGATACTGAGTGGGTAATTAACCTGTGACACAGTCCAGGTTTTACTTCGATAAATAAGAACATTTAGAGTCTCAGAATTTCTTTCATTGCTCAACTTGGGGAATGACTGTAAAAAGTCAAACAAACGAACTATGCATGTAGCCATTGTTTGGCATGCACCAGGGATTATCCACTACAAACACAGGGCGAGGGCTCCCCTCATTTTCTCTGAATGATGCAATCTACATTCAGAATTCACATCTTGGCATGACCAGAAAACAAGCCCTTTTTAGCTTGTTATAGTTGAGCTCTGAAGACAAATGACACAGGGCTCGATTTGAATGCTTCCATATTTATTTGAACAGATAAAATCAGAGAAAACTGTTTTCCTTGGAGGTGCTCTTTAGAAATGGAGACTTTCCTTAAACTATGTCCCTGCCGTTGTCGGTCTGAACGTATGTTATGTCTTGGATTTGGAGGACTCTTTATTTAATGAGTTTCTTTTATTAAACCTGCAAGACCCAAATTTGCTCCTTGAACATCTCTCAGGAATTGCTGACCACAAATCGTTGGTAAACTGTCGTGAAACAGCAAACAAACTGCCAAACAGAAGACCTTCAGGCCAGAAATATGAGATTCATTCCAGTAACTGTGGGTAAATTGAACTAGCTTGCCCTGGTCACAAGGGTTTAAGCTGGTCCTCACCGTCTTGCTTGTTTGACACAGCACACGCAACCATCACTAGGGTCAGGGGTGCCCCGTGTACTAAAGCTAAGCTAAAGCAACTATTGTTTTTTGGCTAGCCAAAAAACCAAAGGAGGATCCAGGACCCAATTCTTAAGGGGGGGGCCTTGATTTTTTTGAAGGATTACAAGCAGCTACATCTTGGAGTTTCCACTTGCCAAGAAGAGGGAAACGAAATGGAAAACAGATCCTTTCAGTGTTTTGAAACGAAAACAATTCAGCTTTTTTTTTGGTGTGTGTGGGGGGGTCATGACCTGATTGCCACCCCCTCCCCCATCCAGCCTTGCCAAAAGCCAGCATCTGAAACACAGGACTCCTACCTGTGCGAGCTGATGATGTAACCTGAATCTTCACTTTGGAGATTTCATCACTGGTCAGTCAATTCACACTACATCGTTAGTCGGCCTCTACGTACGCAGCCACAGCAGTGCATTCACCTGAGCCCTTCCCAAATCTAAACCCCGGAGGAATGACACAAAGTGAAAAGAAAAGGTCACCTCCAATTTTCCAGTCATACTGTAATAAAGATTCCCCCCCCCCCAATGAGCCAAACATCCACGTTTTAACCCATCAAAGCACAAACTCTTAATCCATAAAACCATACAGTGCTGGGGAGTGCAGGAAGTAACAGGCTGGGTGGGGTTAGGGCTCACTTTCATGGCACTTCTCAACACAGTCAGACGAAAAATCATGCTAACTTTAGCAGAAACATTTGCGAAGATTAAGCACTATTTCATAGTGGTGTTTGGCATGGTTTTGCTAAAAGCCGCACGCGCAGAGAGATTTCTTTTGCTTACTGCTTTATATGGTCTTCTTGAAATATGCAGAGTCTCTATAAGCGTGAAATCGTGTGCTAAGCAGTGCCGTGAAATTGGGCCCTGATTGTTACCAGCAAGGTTTCTACGAAATCTGAAAAACAAATTCAGTGACCTTTCCTGCACTTTCCAGAACTAAAATATGACAACTTCCATGATGTTTAATGCCACTCTGCACAGAAAATTTGTTTGGTACTATGACTGGGAAGACTGCCATAGCCACTACTGGCAAGGATGGCCTGTAAATTTATTGTATGAAATTTCATTTCCACATCAAAAGTGGCCCATCAAAAATAACCCTTGTATGATTTTGATTTCCATGACTTCTCCTTGGACCAATTTTCCAGGAGTTTTTCATGACTTTCCGGGAAATTTTTTCCCAGGATTTTCCATGACTGTGGGAACTCTGTACAAGGATAAATGGGTTAAAAGTACTGTGCAGTCCATCATTTGCAGTTATCCAAATGGTCATCATAAAGAAACAAAGATTTCAAGCAGGCCCCTTCTCAAATTTTGGGAAAATTGCGTTAGAAATGGACGCAAGCATTGACATAATACACAGACACTTGCGGTTACCATAATTCACCGGTTCAGTGGGTGACAATGTGAGTTTTGCATTCGACTGAACTTGAGAATGTGTCCTGGATACTGGATTCAGACACCAATTTAAAACACGACTCAGCAACTTTTGATCTGAAATCTAAGTCTTAGCAAAGATTTCTCAGAATATGGAGCATTTACCATTAAGCTGAAACTTCATCA